ACAACCCATAACAAATTAGAAATTAAAAAAAAAGCACGTCCACATCTGCTGATCCTTTAGCAGCCCTGCACAGCAGTCAGCTAATAGCTGCACTCCTCCCCTTTCTTTGATAAGTATTTTAAAAACAAACATCTTAAAAAATACTTCTCATAAAACTCTTCTGGAGCAGCTTGGCACGGTTTCAAGCTATCGGAGTGGCTCTGCTGGTGCTGAAGTTCGAGAAACACGACTCTGCACCTAAACCGGCCACCTCCCCGTGCTCTCTCCTTCCCCGAAATGGCAGGCGGCAGGAGAAAAGCCGGGGCGGCCGGCCGCAGGAAATAGCGTGAGAATGGGCTCCCTCATGCTACTTCCAGCCCTTCCTGATATCGGAGGGTGTGAAATGGGTTGCAAAGACTGTCTCTCACATTATTTCCTTTTCCACCCCCGCCAAAACCAGGAAGCGCCAGCTAGGAGATACGCTGAGAAAGCATAGCGTAAAATGAAGCACAAAATCACATTGGTGGCCAAGGCTAACTAAAGCAAAAATTCAAGGATCTGTGGGCACAGCCTAATATTAGCAAGTCTAGAAAAAGCACTAGGAGGCTCATGTACCCAGGCTTTGCTTTTGATTTGCCATATAGCTAATCCAAAGGCTACTGCACCAAAGCAATCTTCTTCAGGACATCCACAGACTTTGGGTCAGACCTTACAGGACAGTGCTGGCATCCTTCATGCCCTCGTGCCACAAACAGCACATTCATATGGGAGAGATCCTACTTCCCCTGACTACTCTGCTGCGTATTTGTGAGGCTTTAAGAACAGAAATGAAATGAAAACCGAGGTAGAAATATTAGCAGCAACAGCACTTCAGAAAGATCGTATTTGTTTATATTTGTCAGAAGGCATGTATTTGACAAACAGGTCTTGGCACATTACAGTGGAAATGGCTCCTACATTCTTAGTATTAAGTAATATATTCTAAATAAAATACAATCCTGTGCCTTCAGGGAAGAAATATGAAGGATGGTAAATCATTTATTTATCACCGTTTGGGGTTTTCTATATTCTAGACACTTCTGCGTTCTTCTGTTTATTATTAGCCAAGAGTGGTATCACATGGCAGCTTCAGTACAAACATTCGCTCTTTTCTGTATACATCCCCAGAAGATGCAAGAGCAATGAAATTTGGTCTCCTCGTAGATAATGCTCCCTCCTCACAGCTAAAATACACTCCTCTCGGGGAGAAACTGGTGACAACCTCACAGACTGTGTTGTTCTAAAAGCAGAATTGAAACTAATTACTTAGTAAGTCCAGTTAAGAAAAGGGAAACAGCCTCCTTTCCTTTCTCTGCCTCTCAAGACTGTAAAATATGCCTAGGCAGGAAGTACAGTAAAGCTCATGATGAGCAGAGGCAGCTACTCTTTCAAAATGAACAGGGTTCCTCCGAAGTGACATTTTCATTTAGCCAGTGAGCTTGAGGATAAAGGGCAGGATACCAGAAGGGCTCCCAGCAGATGAGGTTACTGGCCGGGCCTCCCAGCTTCACGCCTGCAAAGATCACAACTGCAGTTAAATGGAAAGCCAGGACGGTACCTGTGGCTTTTGGTAAAGTGCATATAAACATTAACTTCTCACGGGGAGACACTGAAAAATTGTAGCGAGTCAGCA